CCCCCCGTGACTCAGAGGCTGTTCTGGCTGCTGCGCATGGTGACCAGCTTATTCATCGGGGCCCTGATCCTGGGTGAGTGTGAAGCACAGCTGACTTGAGCAGCTGCCTCCATCCCATCTAGTTCCTCAGCAGCCGGCCTCTCCTCTCCTTGCTGCCCCACAGCAGCCTCTGCTTCAGGGTAGGCTTCCAGCCCCTGCTCACATGCCTACCTCACTGTGGCCTTATCCCGTCACTCCTACCCTTGCCCTGAGGGATGCGGGCCCCTGGAAACCATGCTGGATGCATCTTGACAACCTTCCTAACATTTTTATTCAGAGGAAAGCAGGTCAAAATGAATGTCTGTGGGGAGAGGGCCTCTGGAGACTGGAGGGGGGAAACGGAGGAGGGCTGTTTGCTTTGCTTTGGGGCTTAGGCAATAGGAGATTTGCAAAGTCTGGATGTTGAAGCTATCTGTGTTTGCTCAGCACAGTTTATTATGTTAATGTTTCCTCCCTCAGCTGCCTGAGTAGCTGTCCCTAAGTGGGGTGGAGGGGGAGAGGGAAAGGGTAAGAGGAGTATGACCAAGGGAAATCTTGGATTCTGACCCATTTATTCATCCCAGACATATTGTTGGCAAACTTACTATGAGCCAGACCCTTGGCCAGTTAATGGTTATACAATTATGAGCAAAACAGACATGGTCCCCTTGTAGCTCTCCCTCTGACTTGAACCCAGCAATGCCCAGACCTCCCTGAGTTCCCATATGTCCAACTCCCCAACCCTAGCCGTGATTTTCAGTTCCAAGTGGTCTGTGGGCCAGGTCAGCACCAACACGTCATACAAGGCCTTCAGTTCTGAGTGGATCAGCGCCGAGGTGGGGCTGCAGATTGGGCTGGGAGGAGTCAACATCACGCTCACAGGTGAGAGAGGGCTCTTACCTGTGAGGGAGGGGAAGGCTCTGCTCTGTGTCTTTGGGATCTATGGTCGGTTTGGTCTAAAGAGCTACAGGATCGGTGGATGGTAGGAAGGGAAATTCCCAACAATTCCTTGGAAGCTGCCTTCTCTCAACTGAGACCAGCTCCTGTCCCTCTGCCCAGCGTGGTAAGCCCCTACCCAGGCAAATGCCCACTCTGGTCCGTGAGTCCCTGCTGAGCACAGCTGCCCCATTCCCCAGGGACCCCAGGGCAGCTTAATGAGACCATCAATTACAATGAGGAGTTCACCTGGCGCCTGGGCGAGAACTATGCTGAGGAGTACGCAAAGGCACTGGAGAAGGGGCTCCCGGACCCTGTGCTCTACCTGGCTGAGAAGTTCACTCCGAACAGCCCATGTGGCCTGCATAGCCAGTACCGCCTGGCAGGACACTACACCTCGGCCATTCTGTGGTGAGTGTGGGACGGAGGCCTTGCTGGCCTAGACCCAGGAGCAGGGTTTCTACCCATCTCTCCTCCACTCGTGTGGAGATCGCTGGTAGGAAAGGCTGGGACCAGTCACCATGGTGCTTGGTTGGGAAGCCCACAGGCAGGAATCCCTACCTCACATCTTTGAGGTGTCCTTGGGTCCCTGAGCCTCCACCTGGGCCCCTCCAGATAGAAGTGCCCAGGCCAGCTTTCACCCAGTCTTGACTCTCCAGGGTGGCATTCCTCTGCTGGCTGCTGGCCAATGTGATGCTGTCCATGCCCGTGCTTGTCTACGGTGGCCACATGCTGCTGGCCACGGGCATCTTCCAGCTGTCGGGACTGCTCTTCTTCTCCATGGCCACGTCCCTCACCCCACCCTGTCCCCTGCACCTGGGCACTGCTACGCTGCACACTCACCGTGGGCCTGCCTTCTGGATCACGTTGGCCACAGGTGAAGCCCAGCCCTGAAGACGGGCACTGAAGAGCTCAGAGCCAGGGAGCATCATGTTGGTGGGGTGGAGGGTCTGCCTCTGGAGGCCAGGATGCCTTTGCCCTCTTTAAAGCCCCATCCCTCTTCTCCCTCATCTCTAGGCTTTCTCTCCCCAGTTCTGCTCCCCCCATCTTATGTGCCTACTCCCCTGTGTCTGCTCTCTGTCTCTGTCATGTCCCTCATCCCCTAGCTCTCTCTTCACCCAGCTTGTTCCCAAATCTTCCGATCTCATGTCCCTCCCCACTTCCCCTAAACACTCTTCTCTGTGTCCCCCACTCCTAGAACACCTCGATGTCCCTGCTTCACATAGCCTTAAATTGCCCTGCAGTTTCATTCTCCTCTCACTAAGGCACTTGTCACCTCATCCCCAGGACTGCTGTGTGTGCTGCTGGGTCTGGCCGTGGTGGTGGCCCACTGGATGCAGCCCCACAGGCTGAAGGCTTTCTTCAACCAGAGTGGGGGAGACAGCTCTGTGCTGGAGTGGATTCCTGAAGAAGGGGGACTCCTGAGCCCCCGCTACCGGTCCACAGCTGAGAGTCCCGAGCCCCTGGACATTCCTCTGTCAGGGGCTTCCTCCGAGACGTGCTGTAAGGAGGAGTACCCAGGAGAGCCTGACTGTGCCCTATAAGCTTCCTCTCCTTGGTGGCCACCCGGACTTCCATCTGGCTCCAGACCTCATTGGAGCCCCATATACCCACCAGAACTGCCTGCAGGATGGGTTGTATCAGGCCCCCAGCCCCAATCTGTAGGTGGAGTAGAAAAAAGAGGCTCTACCTATTGATGTTAAAAAACAAAACAAAAGCCCTAAGGTGTGCACAGACATTAGGGCTGCCCATACACCCTGTGGCCATGGTGAGGCCAAGCAGGGGCTCCCCTGTTTCTGCACAGCAACCTTGCCTTCCCTTGATGCTTTGCCTCTTCAAGGTGCCATTTACTGAAACTCAACTTCACCCACATAATGACGTGCATGTGTGGGGTTACGATGTGATTTTCCTCTGGTTCCCCTCATCCCTCTGCACCTCTCATCTTCCTTTTTCCTGGATCCATTTTGTTCTCTACTTCTCCAGCTTGTATCACCTCTCCATACAATGAAAGACAGCACTGGGAGGGAGAAGAAACCAAACTTCTCATCCCAGGTCTGATAGTAATGAACTGTGTCACATTCTCTTTGAGCTTTAGTTCTCAAATTTGCAGAATAAGATTGTAGGACTGACCAAGGACCTAAAAAAAATCCCAGGATTTACATTTTTATGCCTTGCTGACATCTACCTTGGGCCTCAGACTCCACCCTTTAGTGAATAAACTCCAAAACGCCATTCCTTCCTAGCCCACTCAGCTAGGCCAGCAGAAGGGATCCCACTGGGCCAGTGGGAGGGTGACCTGCCTGGTCACTACAACCCATCACGCACCCTGAACGGCTCAAGATGCTGGCTCCCGTCGGTTTCCCTCTGGGCTCACTAGAGGGCGCCCCTCTCCCAGAGCCTTTCCCGGGTTACTCTGAATTCTCCAGACCGAGAGAATCCGGGATCGTGACGAAGCAGAGGAAGAGTGTATTAGGCTGCCTCCAGCCGGGCGAAGTCTCCCGACGGTGCGTAGCCCCTGGGAGCCTGGAGAAGCCATGGAAATTAATGGGGAAAAAAGTTTTTTTTTTTAAAAAAAGGAAAAAAGAATTTATTTACAGCTCACCCTGGGAGACTCCCAGGTGCAGGAGGGACATCTGAGACCGTCCGCCTTCCCCTCGGTGGCGGCAGCGCAGTGCCTTCCCGCAGCTCCCCCGGCCCACGCCCGGCGGGCACTGCTTCCCGGCCTGAGGGGGACCGAGGCGGGGTAGGAGACCAAGGTTGACTCCTCTTCACAGATTAGTACTGATTGTTAAATCCGAGGTCTCGAATTGCTTACGCAGTGGGTTTTTGAGGACGAGAGGCGAGCTCCCTTTCGCCTGGCTACCGTAGTGCTCGACGCTTTGGTCCAAGAAGATGCGAAGAGCTCTGGGCCGAGCGTAGTGCAGACTCACCACCGCCCCTCCGAGGAGGAGGCACAGGATGCCTGCGGCGGCGTGGATGGAAGGAAAGGGGGCGGTCAGGGCTCCGGGACAGAACCCGGCCTGCCCCCCTCCATCTATTGGAGGCTACCCGTCACATGTGCTCCCCCGAGACACACATACACGCATCTCAGAAAGACCTCTAATCAGGATTACACGATACACGGGTTCGCGTGCTAACTGGTGCAAGATCCGAACCCCTCCCCTCATCTGTAAAATGGGCATAACAGTGCCTGCCTCTACGAACTACTGAGAGGGGCAAATCAGATGATATGCGTGAACTCATTTTGTAAACTGGAAAGCGCACGCCGGTATAAAGCCCGTCCCCACCCCCAGCCGTCCGGAGCCGTCTCCTCAGTCCTCACCGGTGGCCAGCGTGATCCAAAAGGCGGCACCGTAGTGAGTAGTGAGCGCCGAGGAGCCGAGGTGGAGCGGGCAGAGCGGCACAGTGGAGATGGTGGCGAAGGCGAAGACAGAGAAGAGCTCGAAGGCGCCGGTGATCAGGAGACCCAGGCCTCCATAGAGCGGGACCGGCATGGAGAGCAGCGCGTTGGAGATGATCCAGAGGCAGAACGCCATCCTGCGGGGGGAGGGACCAGCTGCGCTGGGAGCCGGATTCTCTCAGCCCGCCTGGGTTCCCACAGCCGTGCTTCTTCTATGTCGCTACCCCAGAACAAAAGCTCGGGGCTGGGGTGGCGGAGGCGCAGAGGAACCCCCAAGGGGATAGCCGGGTCCCAGCGGCTGCTAGGTCTTTACGGATTCCGACGGTCTGTGCGGACCTCGTAACCTTCTGACCTGCGAAGCAGTAATTCTCACCTCGCCTCTAACTGCAGCTCGTATCCTCCAGCTCATAGCCTCCTCACACACACACACACGCACACACATGCTGCCTCCCCCAGCGCTCACCACAGCGTGGCCTTGGCGTAGTGTCCCGCCAGGCGGTACTGGCGGTGGAGCCCGCAGGGGCTGCTCGGGGTGAACTTCTCCGCCAAGTAGAGAACTGGATCCGGCAACCCCTTTTCCAGTGCCTCCGCGTACTTCGCGGCATAGTTCTCGCCGAAACGCCAGGTGAAAAACTCGTTGTAGTCGATGGTCTCGTTCAGCTGCTGCACTGGGGTCCCTGCGGAGGGCGGCGGGGTCATGGAGCTGCGCACAGCCCCGACCAGGCAACTAAATGGATTCAGACAGAAAGTGGGGGTGCGAGAGAAATGGGTTTCACGGTGGCTGGGGAAAACATAAATCCATGAGGACCAAAAGCTATTTGAGCCTGTGAGATCTAAGAGATCCTCCCGCTGCCCCCGCCACACTCCCCCAACCATGGGGTCTGCCAACCCCAGAAGTTCACTTCGCCCCAGCCCCCTCACCTGTGAGTGTAATATTAACTCCATCCAGGCCCACATGCAAACCGATGTGCGCTTGCACGCGCGCTGTGCTGAAGGCCTTGTAGGATGTGTTGGTGCTCACCCTACCCACCGACCACTCTGCGCTGAAGTGCAGGGCTGTGGGGAGAGGCAACGGTGGGCGGTGGTGGTCAGGGAGAGGACTGGGGAGATAGAATTGGGAGAGTGGGGCACTGTACAGAGAGATGAAGGGGCTAGGGGTCCAATGTGGTATATATGGTAAGGGCAGAAGAGTGGGCACTAGAAAGAGCTAGAGAATGGGAAGAGGGAGGAGGAAACTAAGCCCAGTTCTCCATTTTCCCAGGTGCCCTCTGCCCACCTCCTTCCTCACCCCAGGTCCGCTCCCAATCGGCTGCGCCACACACTCACCCACAGTTTCTGCGCCTATGAACAGACTGAGAAGAACTCTCACCAACCAGAACCAGCGCTGCAGGAACAGGCACCTGGGTCACGCCTGGGTACTGCCCAACCAGAGTCCCCAAGACCTCCCTTGACCCCATGCCACCCAGATCTTTAGTGCCCCTGGAACTGCCCCCTCTTGCCCCACACCTTTTTCCCAGGTACATTCTTGACCTTTTGAGGCTGAAGTCAGGCTTGTTTTTCCTGCAAGTCCTTCTGAGCCACTGGTGTTGCCAATGTTTTTCTGGCCATGCGCTTCCGCCACCCCAGCCCCATTTCCCAGTCTACCCTGCAACCAGACTGTTTTTGCCTGGTGCCCTCCCACCACCTTAACTCCCTCAACTATCTGGCTCCTGGTCCAGGTCCCACCTACTGCTCGGGTCACCGCTGTGGTGAGGCTCAGTGAGTCCAGAAGTACTAGGCAGGCAGGGGTCACCTCCCCCAGGAGAGAGAGGCCCCAGGCTCTGGTATCCAAGTAGAAGAGGTGGGAACACAGCCTAGGTGCACCAGTTACCCAGGAAACCGACACAGATCAAGACTCAGGGTGGCTAGGTCCTCTTACACTTGAAAAACAGACAACTTATGTTCTAGGAGAGAAGGGACTCTAAGGACAAGTACCCAGTCTGCTACAACTTTGAATCCTGTGCCAGAGTCTCTGAGTCCTTAGGTTGGAAGCACCCATACACATGTGTCTCAACCCAGTGCATAGGTGAAACACAGCAGTCTGAACTCCTAGTTTCTGTTCTCTTGGTCTGAAGGTCATCACCCAGAAGGCAGGATGGGAGTGGAGCTGCTGTCTGGGGAGAGGCCGGAGGCCCCCACAACACATGAAGACCAGAATCGGCCCCAGGCTTAGTGGGCTGGGCACTCACTCTCTGCAGCATCCTCCTGAATGATCCAGCTGGGGTCAGTCTCTAGGATGTCTTTATGGGACCTCTCCCTGTCCTTGGGAAGGGTTTGCTTGCTGCCAGACTTCTGGGTCTGCTCCACCTATGCTCATCTGGTTCACTGCTTCAGTTTGACTATTCATGGGGGCCCCTGCCGCAGTCTTACCTGTCCTGGGTCCTCCAGAGACAAGCTGCCCAGACACCCTCCACCCCCAGACCTGAGCTCCTAGCACCCCCTTACCGAGTGGCCACGAATCCCAGGCAAGATGAGCAGGAAGCTGGCGGCCAAGGCCAAGAACACCAGAATGACGATGAGCAGCGGGACACTGAAGCCGGCAGCATGCCGGGGCTGGGGGTAGAAAGGCAGCACGCCATTCCACAGAGTCATGCTGCCACACGGCTGAGCGCTGCGCGCGGGTGGGCTGGCAAGGGGGAGAGCTGAGTCTGCTCAAGCAGGGAGAGCGCGTCCCTGGCGTCCAAGGCCTGGATGCACTTCTCTTTATCCCGCCCCCTGCGTGCGAGGACAGGACTCGATGGGCTGGTCAAGTCTAAGGCCCTCGGCTCGCCCCTGAGAGGCTAGCCCCTGAGAAGCGCAGCGGCTGGCTGCCCTCAAGTGCCCTGGGTTGGCCTGGGCGGAGTCGGATAGGCGGGAGAGCAGAATTATTTCTCACTGGTTGTAGCCAGTTACTTTCGCAGTCCGCGAGTTCGCTCTGCGTGTGGACCCCTTTTATAGCAGAGTAGACAGCGTGCCCAGCGGATGTCGGGGCTTGGCAGCCGGGTCCTAACGGGAAGAGATCTTGCAAATGAGGGGCGGAGGTCGCTATGCAAATGAAGGAGCCCCGCCTCCACAGCAAGGAGGCGAGCCCCGGGTCCAGACGCTCACACCCGGCGCTGGTCTGGCCTAAGTGGACACCGCGCAGCTGGCCTCAAAGGACCCAGAGAGGAGGGTGAGAGTGTAGCCGGGGAGACTGAGGATTCCAAGAGGAAAAAAGACTTCTGACCCCGACGGAGGCCCTAAACCAGAGGTTGGACCGGAGCTTGGGGCCTGATCTTCCCATCCCTCGTGTCCATGCACAGGCATTCATTGCGAACTCTGAGGGGCTGCAGGTCTCCAGCTCCCAGTTCACTAGCGCCTTCCCTTCCCTGTCTCCTCTAGGAGAAGCAGTCCCTGGGGGTTTTGGTGGTGGGGATTCGAGGCTTTGGGCGGGCCCTGGGAGACTGCAGGTAAAGTCCTGCCCCAGACTGACAAGCCCCGGAGGACTTATGCCCTGTGGGTTCCTGTAGTCGGCGTTAGTTCTTCAATAGGGTGGAAAGTGGGGACTAGCGTCAGTGCCTACAGGGCTGCCAGGTGTCCTAAAAAGAGTGGCGTGCGGGTGCGGGTCCTGGATGATGCTTCTGAAAGCTTCACGCCAGAAGTGGAAACAGCCGGAGCCTCCTGCCCCAGTGCCGGCTGTAGGCGTGGAGGACGCCAGCTCCGTGTCCCTCACATATCCCCTCCCACCCCCCAGGCCGCAGGGTCAACATGATCCTCGCGAGGCCAGAGGCACTGGCCTCTGTGCTCCTGGGAGCTCTGCTGACTGTATCCCTGGAACCAGCAGGTAGGTATCAGGCACTCCTAGCTTCGAGATGTCACCCAGTACTCCTGGGATTGCGGGAAGGGAGAGGGGCAAGTAAGCGCCTCCCAGAGGCTGTGGGATCTGGTCAGATCACTGCGCGGCTCTTCCGGATTGGAAACTTCCGATGCCGCGCAGGTATCGCCACTTGGGTCGGGTTGGGGGCGCTCGGCGAGCCGGAGAAGCAAGGGCCGAGGCTATCCGGTCCCCGAGGGTGTCGCAGGAAGGCTAGCACTGAGGAGACGACTCGCTGACCCACAGGTAGCCAGAATGCACCCTCACTGCCCTGGGAAGTGCAGCGCTACGACGGCTGGTTCAACAACCTGAGGCATCACCAGCGTGGCGCTGCAGGTGCGTCCTGTGGCCCCGGGGGGAGAGGGTGGCTAGTGGAGGACAGGGGCACGGGGAGACCAGGCGCGGAGACACGGAGAGAGCGCGCCGCCAGCCGCCCGGCCGCCTGCGCAGCCAGCTCCTATGCACTCCTGGGGCCAGGAGACCCCGGGGAGAAAGGGTCTCCTCAGTGAGGGTGGGGGGTTTGAGGGAGGAGTAGGGCAAGGTCTGTGGACTTACTGGGAAAGGAGTGCTCTGACGGACCCTCGCTCCCTGCTTCCCGCAGGCTACCGTCTGCAGCGCCTCGTACCAGCCAATTACGCGGACGGCGTGTATCAGGCTCTGGAGGAGCCGCTGCTGCCCAACCCACGCCGACTCAGCGACGCCGCCACTCGCGGCAGAGCCGGGCTGCCATCCCTCCGCAACCGCACCGTGCTGGGGGTCTTCTTTGGTGAGGGCAAAGTGGGAAAACGCTGGGATTGACCTGGCGCTTAGCTCAGCGCCTGAGAGGGGCCCTGAGGCCCCTCTGCAAGTCCACAGGAGACCATTGGAGACTCCCAGCCACCTCCTCTCCCCACCAAGCAGCACTTCGAGCCTTTCTTCATCTCGGAGAGATTTGGGGGTATCGATTCAGGGATTTTAGCTCCCCTAATCTTTCATTTACCTCTTACTCCAAACCCAGGAGTGCCACTGGACCCCCATTATAGTTCTTAGGAGCTCAGTCCCCTGCCACGGCTCTCCTCCCAATTATAACCTCTTTCTCTCTAAGAGGGAGGGGGAGGCAGGATCTGTTAGAAAATGGGGGACTGGCTTGGGGGAACCCTTATATTAATTATTTTATTTTGGTTCTCACAATAACGTTATGACGTGGGCGAGGAGGGTAGTATATCATCATTTTTCAAAATAGGAAAATCCGCAGAGCTGGTGTCGGAGTTTGACACGAAAATCTGCCTTTTGGCTCTTGAGAAATTTGGAGTCCTCCCTGGCCGTGGGGAGTGACGATTTTAACGAGCTTGCACCCCGCTGCCTGCAGGCTACCACGTGCTCTCCGACCTGGTGAGTGTGGAGAGACCCGGCTGCCCCGCCGAGTTCCTCAACATCCACATCCCGCCCGGAGACCCCGTGTTCGACCCCGACTGGAGCGGGGACGTGGTGCTGCCGTTCCAGAGGAGCCGCTGGGACCCCAAGACCGGACTGAGCCCCAACAACCCCCGGGACCTGGTGAGACGAGGCAGGAGGCGGGGCGGGGCGCTGCGCTCGGGACCTGGCAGGGCCGGGTGGGGAGAGGCTCCCACCCCCGCTCCCACCCCCACACCCACCTACACACGCCTGGCCCTGGCCCTCCCTTACCCGCCTCAGCTGCCCGACCCCGGCTTACCCTCCCCGTGTCCCCGCAGACCAACGAGGTGACGGGCTGGCTGGACGGCAGCGCCATCTATGGCTCCTCTCACTCCTGGAGCGACGAGCTACGGAGCTTCTCCGGGGGGCAGCTGGCGTCGGGACCCGACCCCGCCTTCCCCCGGGACTCGCAGGAGCCCCTGCTCATGTGGACCGCGCCCGACCCCGCCACCGGACAGCGCGGGCCCCAGGGGCTGTACGGTGAGGCCGCGGGGCCGGGCAGGGGCGCGGCGCGGGAGGAGCGGGCAGGGCGCGCCCAGGGCTCGTTGGAGGGCTGGCTGGGGGTCTGCGGGGTTGGGCTCCCCTTGGTCACACCGCCGCGCCTCTCCTCCCGTGCGTCCCCGCGTCGCACACAGCTTTCGGGGCGGAGCGAGGGAACCGCGACCCCTTCCTGCAGGCGCTGGGCCTGCTCTGGTTCCGCTACCACAACCTGTGCGCGCAGAGGCTGGCCCGCCAGCACCCGAGCTGGGGGGACGAGGAGCTGTTCCAGCACGCGCGCAAGAGGGTCATCGCCACCTACCAGGTCAGCCCCTCCCCCACGTCCTGGTCCGGGGAGACTCCGCTCCCTCGCAGAGCCCTCCGTCCTTGGACAACTGCCACCCAGAAACGTCCTTCTCCAGCAGGACACCCCTCCCTAGAAAGCTAACGTCTAGGAATAGGCCCTGAAAAGGATCAGGACGCAAAGCGCTACTTATACACCAGATTTTGCTTGTGATTATTATTTAGCTGCCCCCCGCCCCAATCCCCTGTTCCTTGTGGGGGACAGGCCTTCTCGCCTCTCCTGTTTGATTGGCCTCCCTCACGACTGCCGCTGCCTGGTCCTCATCTCTCGCTTAAGCCTTCCTTGGGCTCAGATTCCTCCCAGCCCGGCAGCTCCAGCGCTGGCCTCCCCTTTCCCCTCTCTCTGACCCTCAGAACATCGCCCTGTATGAGTGGCTGCCCAGCTTCCTGGGGAAAACACCCCCAGAATATACAGGTGAGAGCGTTGGGGCACACCTGGGCTGAGGGGGGAGGGTCAGGAACTATAGGGGAAAGAAGACAGGTGGGTGCTTGTGATGGGAGCACATGGAGGTACGAAGCCGATATCTCTTATTATCCCCTTGGGCAGGGTACCGCCCTTTCCTGGACCCCAGCATCTCTCCCGAGTTCCTGGCGGCCTCGGAGCAGTTCTTCTCCACCATGGTGCCCCCTGGTGTCTACATGAGGTAAGGTAGGGGCTGGTCCATAGGAGAGGCACAGCACTCGCAGAGGTGATGAATCACCTACCTTGGGGGCCTGGGGCCTTTTATACACCTCCACAGTTTCATGGGGGACGGGAAGCAGAATTTGGGGCCCTGAAACAGGACCCTGGGTTAGAAGGTTCAGTCTTAGAGAAATCTCCGTAGCTCCTCCTAATGGCTGAACTTCAGTTGCTGAGAACAGGATTTGTCTAGTAGCTGGGTCACCCTCTTCCCTCCTTCCCCTCCCACCCTGTGTGGACTAAGAGCAACCTCTACCTTCAGTCCTCACACATTGCCAAATCCCTACTCTGTTCAAGGAGGTTCAGTCCTGGTGCTTAGTCCCTCACCCCACTCAACCCCATCTCAGAGGGATTCAGAACCCTGAATTCCCTTACCACATCCTTGATTATCCATTTCAGAAATGCCAGCTGTCATTTCCAGAGGATCCTGAACAAGGGTTTTGGCAGTTCCCCAGCTCTGAGGGTCTGCAATAGCTACTGGATTCGGGAGGTCAGCCTGGGGTCGGCATCAGAGGGAGGTGGGTTAAGGTCAGTCTTGTCACATAGGCTGGGAAAAGCAACAATTCCAGTTCTCGGGTGGTGCTGCTCCAGGGTATTGGGAGACGAAGGGTGGAGTGATCAGAAAATTACCTGGGGACTCAAGAGAGTCTAGGACTGGCCAAAGGCCCTTTGTCCTGAGGTGCTGCGCTGGTCCAGAGTGAGGGGGACTAGGCTTTGGGGAGAGGCCCAAGAGCCTACCTGAGTGTGTTGTTTACTTCCAGAACCCCAATCTGAACAGTGCCCAGGCAGTGAATCAGCTGCTGCTGG